GCACCGCACTATAGGGCGCACCGCACATTTTGAGGGAAAAAAAGTCGTTTATATGCACCTTATAGTCGTGAAAATACGGTATTATTAGTTCTAAGTGTGGATCTGTGGTTTAACTCTTTGTCTCAAACTAAAGTTAGTACTGTGAGGCTAAAGGCCTGGTTCTCCTTTGTGTAGCAGAGAGCTTGTTGCAGATATTTTTGAATCGTGGTCTGCGTTATGTTATTCCACGCCACAACGCCAGGGCAGGGGGCCAATCAGAAACTAGCTGATATTATTTTATATACTCTAAAATAATATACTATATTGAGTCATAGAAACTCAGAAACCAACAATTAGGAATTATGTTTTTACTTCGTTTTTTTGTGTGGATCCTTAGCTTTGATCTTTTTAGGCACTACAGACTCCTTGTTTGCTTCTTTTTCCTCGTCCTTCTGCCCCATTAGATATTTGCTTATGTAAATCCTTTCTCAGAATCCATCCAGAAGAATGGCACCGTCCTGTGTAAAGCAGTGAGGGAAGGCCAAAAAGGGGAAGACAGTCGGAGTAATTACTCAGTTTCATCACGTGTCCTCCTGCTATTTTTAACCAGGCCAGAGGAGGGTTTGCAGACGTCTCATTCTTGTTTTCTGAAGTCACTCCTGTTGCTGCTGAATCATAATAGCATGCTTTAGCTTCTGCTGTCAGGGCGATCTAGCAGGGCCCCATTGTGCACCTCGAGAGAGAGACCGCTGCCCTAACCTACTGTCCAAATATAGAGCAGAACGCTGACAGTCGGTGCTCTCAGCTGCTCTTATGGTCCAGCTGACGGTTGTAGCTCCAGGCTCATTTTTTGTCTGCTCTCTTTTTGTCTTGCAGATGATGTTAATGTCTATCACCAACAGGCCTCATCCAGTGCAGGATCCCTGCAGCAGTCAGAGGTAAACACCTGCTCTCTGATCAGCTGGAAGACTCATTTATTTCCTCCATAATGCCACTTTATTACATTTTTTTTATCAAACTGTTAAAGTAGATGGAGTGGGACATGCATTTATATAAACACCTGAAACATTTTGATTTGAATACACATTTTTTTTATATATTCTCATGTCAGAACTGCAAACTTTGTTTTAGTTTTAGCATTTAATTTGACTTCCCAACACAAAGGATCACATTAACGGAACTGGAAGGAAAATAATAAATCAAAGGTCTTCAACAGGAGGTCCGCGACCCCTAGGGGGTCCACAGAGGTACTGCATGGGGGTCGACAAAATTTTGTTTTTTTTTTACTTTTTTTTTAATATTTATATATAAATTCCCCCCTGCAATTTTTTCCACTAATTAAAATGTCTTTAAATACACATTAAAATGAAATCAACATGAATTCATCATCATTTCATTCACACCTGTCCCATCAACGAGGAATACAAATCAGAAATACTTTAATAATCCCAGGGAGGGATTACTTTAGTTACATTACTCCATCTGTAATAGAGTGACTATAGGACCAGTTTGATAGAACACTATTTCAAACAATATATCTAATCAGGGGGTCCCCGCTCCATCTCACCATCAGTTTGGGGTCCTTGGCCTGGAAAACGTTGAAGACACCTGTAATAAATGATTAAAAAAAAGAAACAAACTAAGGAAATACTCCAATATTTATATATTCTGGGGTCGCCTTAGTTCTCTATAAACCTCTAAAGATGTGATCTGCATGTGTGTTCAGCTCCTTTAATATCCTATTAAATTTCTACCAACTGCCTTAAAAAGGTCTCTTTACCAACAAACACAGTCTATCATTGTATATAATTGAACCCTGGTATAAATCCAGCTGTTATAAAAGCCTCAGATGTTGGTTGGAGAACAATTAGCAGAACAAGGAAGACAGCAGACAGACCAGAGAGGATTTTTACAGCAGCGTTAAGGAATAAACCTCCCTGAGCTCCTCACAGTCTGTAGCATCTAAAAATGGAAAGACCCTGACAGGACGCGTCCACCCGCCCAAACTAAGAGGTCAGGCAGGCAGAACAGTAACCGAAAGCAGCCAGGCGGTGCATGGTAACACCTCAGCTCTGAGGATCTGTTCACAGACCAATAAAAAAATATCAATATATATATATTCCTGATCAATATCAATAGTCAGAATTTTCTGCAGCTACAGTGAAATCTGAACAAGAAGCTGGAGAATAAATGATTCAGGATCTTAACCTCTGATGGCCTCTGATTTGTTTAAGGTCAAAGGTTGTGTTTAAATAGAATTAGCACTGGAACTTTAATTAGGGATTTCTCCCCTACTTATCATCTAGATCAGGGGTCACCAACCTTTTAAAGGCTGAGGGCTACTTCATGCCTACCGAGTCATAGGAAGGACTACCAATACTGACCTATGAACTGGAGGGATCAGTGTTCACCTGCAGTAAATCTCATCCATTAAAACTCATTTTTATTCTTATTTTATTCTTTTATTCATTTCTAACTTTCTTTTTAATATTGTCATTTTGAAACCAGTGAAAAATGATGAAATAGTGAACATGATGAAATAATACATAAATGATTAAAAAGAAGAGCAACAGAATAAAAAAAAAATTAAACTTAACTTTCAGAAGACGAAGAGGGCCCCCCATGTGGTCTTTGAG